GGAGCGGCGCTGCGAGGCGGCCGCGGCAGCGGCCTCTCCCTCCTGGATGCCCTCCCGGAGCTCCTTTCATCCCTGCTCTTTGTCTGGCCGCAGTGATCCAGGTCACACGGAGCTGAGCAGCCCTCGCGAGGCCCCGGTTCCTGGTGTGCTTGGTCGTAGTGGGCGCCTTCAGCTCGCGGTGCTCGGGCTGGCTCCAGGAGAAGCTGGTGGCTCTGTGGAGGCTGTCTCGGGGGAGACAAGGGAAGAAGCCGTTCTGCTTACGAGCGCAATTGAGCTAGCGGGATCGCAAGGCCCAGCAAAAGGGCAGCGGAGGCGGGTGATCCGTCACGCTGCGGCTGCATCAGCCCAGCATAGAACTCGTCGGCAGATGCAGCCTGGGGCCTGTTGGAGCTCCCGTGCCCGCGCTGGGCTGTGCTGCGGCGGCCGTGCAGCTTCCCGGAGCCAGGAGCCCTGCGGAGCGAAGGGTGCGAGTGCTGCGAGGAATCAGCGCTCTGCTGAGGCTAAAAACCACCGAGAAGGTCCGCAGCTAAGCGCTGTTGAGCCTGGCTGCGGGGCTAAGGAGCTGCCCTGTGCCCAGAGCTCGCGGTGCCTTTGCTGGTGGCTGCCCCTTGGATAGGCCTTGCGGGCAGGAGTGGGGAGCTCCTCAGGCAGTGTGTGTGTGTCTGTTCGCATGTCTGTGTGTCTGAATCCCTCTGTCTGCTGCATTTAGGCTACCTCGGAGGAGCAGGAGCTCCCAATAGAGATAAGCTGTAGCAAAACGTGCATATCTCGCTTTCAGCCTTCTGTCGGGGCAGGTGTTAAAGCCGAAGTGCCTGCTAGGCCCTGGGCCTCGTGCCTCTTCTCCACAGCAGCTGCACAGATCCAGAAGGAGACTGGCCCAAATACAGTCATCAGAAAAGTAATGTCCGCTGCAGCAGAATCCTCTTTTTGTGGATTTTCACCCCGCTGTGACGGTGCGGGGCTGGTGGGCCCGTGTCACTAGGGGGGACCACCCCATGCACAGACTGGACTCTTGTAGCTTGTCACCTGCGTAATAGCTGCCTCGGCACCTTTTGTGGGCAGCAAAGCACGGAGCGATTGCACAAGCCAGACATTGTATTAATTACTTGCTGACATTGAAGGTCATCTTTTTGCCTGGAAAGCTGCCGCCGTCGGTCGTGGCTGCTGGGGGTTGGCGGTGGGGAAGCCGGGGGGTTAACCCGGCTGGTTTGGTTTCCCGTCAGTGTTCAGGAGGTGCGTGATGCTGCGCGGGCGCAACGCGCTGCGGCGGGGAGCGCTGCCCGTGCTGGGCTCCTCTCTGCCCGCGCGGCCT